CTATAATTAAATGTGAAGTTTTTATCTCTAATCCCTTGGATGATATGAATTTGTTCTTTTGGCGATAAGATAATACGAGCTATTTAATACAACTTCAAGAACGTTGATGGACGAAACTATTTTGATTGTGTGTAAATATCAAGAACAGTTTTAGCCCTTTCTTAGAATCAAGCTTTTTTCTCTTCGTAGATTGCACTCCTGGGTATTATATTATTTCTTCAATTTCCAAATTAGATGTATAAACCAAACAGTTTATTGTATAACTGAAATTCTGAAACAGTACAGAATCTGTAGTTGATCATATCTCTATGTACTCATGGTATGTTTATCCTGCTTAGAATTGCATTTTGAAATTGATGATGGTCTTCCTGCTTCCCTGTATGTTTGAAATCTTTTCAGATAATGTTCCTTTGTCCTAATCTGTCTTTTTTCCCCATAACTGTTGTATGGGCATCTCCTGAAATTCCCACTTTGGCTAAATGCCCATTTTCCACATTGTATGAACATATTATTCCTTTTCCTGAAAATGTCTTGTTCTGGGTCACTTCATGTTGTCTTACTGAGAATACATCTGGGTACTCGCTTTTTGTATGTGTGTCCCTTGATGGGAGGCAACTTCTCTACGTGTGAGGAGAAATTGAACAGATGTTTGTATTCGAAAGTTTTAAGCGTTTTCTTTGTTTTACCTTCCAGTGAGGTTGGAAGAACCTATATCTTTGGTGGCTTTCTTCTTGTCCTTCAGGCTATTGAACTCATGTAAATTTATATACCGTGAACCAAATTAAGGTGAATAATTACGATTGCTTTTCTTTAAATAGGTGAAGTTGTTCTCATCAGAGGACTGTCCTTCTAAAGTTGGCCAATCTTCCAATCATCTTCAAGCTAAAACCTCCAGAAGGTTGCCTCCTTATACTTATGAATCTAATGGTTGTCCTCCTGGGTTCAATGTTACTCGTTTGAAGAACCAATTAGCAGATGTGTCCTCCATCCCTTTGATTAAATGGAATTGCCCTCCCAAGGTTAGCATTATTAGATACTCTTCCTCGCCTATTGTCAATTAGCTCTAGTGGGTTACATGATGTGTCGTGTGTCCTTTTTGTATCCTTTTCTGATATGTCCAATTGCAATGCCATTTCTCTCTGAACAGTTTGCTATGAGTTGCCACTGGTGTGTGGCAGCAGGAGAAGAAAGTAAAGAATTGGAATCTCAAAATTTCAGGGAGATGAGATTACTCGAGGCGGTTTACCCTCGTGCTTCTGATATTCCTCCAGGGTAATTACAAAATCGTGATATCTGGAAGTTTAATATTTTTTTGTTTCGAATTGTCCAATAATTTCATCTGTGTTGTTTTCTTCTTCTGTATAGTGCAACCGTATCTACCGAGATAAAAAATGAACGATACAATGATAGTGTCACTCCTCTTGTGCCTATTATTCCCATTGAAGAAGAAGAATGTGAAGTAATGGAAGCAGATTCAGCTGCTGTGAGTAACTCCGCTACGAAATCGTTTCGGATGATGTCTTCCAACATTCAGTTGGAACCTGCAGTCTCTAAACGTTCCATTGAAACATCAGCAGCAGCAGCAGCATCAGGGGAAATGCATACTGAAAAGCTACCTGATGTTGGTGTGGACGTAGCCGCTGCAGCCTCTGCTGCATTAGCTGTTCTAATGAAAAGCATGGAGCAAGGAAGCATGATCGACACCAATTTGCTTATTAAGATCTTCAATGACACAACAATGATTCAGAATTTGACAAATATTCTTCCTCTATATGAAGCAGCCTATGGAAGTCCACCCTCTGCTGCAATTGCTGCACCAATATCTTTGTCAAAGCCAGTTACTGCATCGAATTCCCTGCCTGTACCAAAATCCGATACGATACAGAAGCTCCCGAATCAAAGCTTACCCCATGGCTCGGTTGGAGTTCCTTCCTCAGTAACCAGTCTTCCTCAGGTGAGTAACATTGTAGCGTCTGGTGTAAAGCCAGCCTCCATGCCAGTCCGTGGCCGGACCGAACCCCAAACAGTAAAAACTACCATACCGAATGCTAGGAACTACTCTAACACAGGTGCAGCTCCTGGCCAAGTGAACATGGCACCAGTAAGTTTGGTGAGAACAGAAGTGCAGCAATTGAAGGATCTTAATTACTATAAGAACCTAGTAAGACAACATGGAGAGCAGAAGAAGGATGGAAAGGAACAGAAATTTGAACTAAATGGTAATAATCACAACCAACAATATCCAAACATGGTTCATGAGATGAAAGCAGGGAATTTGAAAGCCAAGAATAAGAAAAACTGCATTTACTTCAATACCCCTAAAGGATGTCGAAATGGCAATGATTGCCAATTCAAACATGACATGTCAAATCCCTGGCGCATTAATAACGTATTGGAGACTCAAAGCAGCAAGAGAATGAAATTGTGGGGATGAACTTACAGGGAAATCTTGTGTTAAAAATGAGGGAAATGGGTTTGAATTTCAATGAAAAATATTACTGGGGTTGCCTTAAATGATCTGTTTTAACCATGATGATAGGCTGTTTCTGAATTAATCGATACTTATTGGGCTGTCACGACGTACGAAAAACGCTATAAAAAATTTATAATAGCAGTTTTCATAAGCCATGTGTGTATTATTTTTGTAGTGCAAGATTGCATTTAGGATGAAAATTTATGAACTTCTTGTAATTTTGTTCATAATATAAACACTGTGAACAAGAGAGAAACTGAGAAACACAAGCTTAACCCACTTTGAACGAATCTTTTTGTCATGTGTAAAGCACTTTCCACCCCTTTATAATTGTGGAGAATGTGGTGGTGCCCCACCTTTTAATAATAATATTAATGTTATGGGGAGAGTTTGTAGCCTTTGGGGTTTGGTAGGCTGCTGATTGTAAGGGAGAGAGTACAAAGATAGTGGGGGAGATGATGAATGATTGAATCATACAAGTTTGAATTTTTAAGAAAAATTTGGATGGATTAGTGAGAAAGGGGTTGTGGGGTTCTCTTCGTTAAAGTCCTCGCACAAATGAATATGGTATTTTTGACGATCAACTCTTTCATTTGCCAATACTCGAAAAGAATCAAATTTCGTAATGTTAAAAATGAGAAATAGAAATCAAATTGAAATCGAAATCGAGAGTGTGTATTCTCATTGATATTCATACAGGATACCTATCTCACAACTAGGAAAATATAAACTAATTAAATATTGAAAATAAAATAAAATATAGAAAGAATATTAAGATATAATATGTAAGATATATTCTATAAATAATATATTCTCTAAATATTATATCTCAACACTCCCCCTCAAATTGGAGGGCGCATGTCAATCACAATCAACTTGTCTTTACGAGTGTAAGTCAATAACACCCAAGTTTTCTTTACGAGTGTAGGTCAATAACACCCTAAGTTGTTTTTTTAGAAGAGAGTGTAGGTCAATAACACTCAACTTGTCTTTGAGAAGAGATCGTAGGTTAATAACACTTTTGTCTTCCCATTTAAAAAGAATACCTTGGTTGATCAGAGTGATGAATATAATAAAGATGTGTTAAATAAACATCCAAAATGTTAAAGTTGGATAATAACACCAAGATCGGTGCTCTTGATCACTTGAGAGGTTGTGAGACTCCTTTGAGCATCTTTGAGCTTGGCGAGAAATTTGAACTTGAATATACGAACATCTTGAGTATGAAGATACGAATAAAAAGAAAATACGAACATCTTGAATATGCCACCTATGAGCTTGGTGAGCAATTCGAAGATGCTTATAACGTATTATTGGATGATTGGCGGCTGTAAAGGGTTCACTGATTGAGTTAGTTGATGAACTGCGGCTGTAAAGGCTTCCCTAATTGAGTTAGGGTTTGGCTTTGGCTCGGATACCGAACACTAACTCAAAAGAAAATTTTGATATTTAAGAATACTAAGATCAGTACTTTGATACCATGTTAAAAATGAAAAATATAAATAAAATTGAAATCGAAGGTATGTATTCTCATTGATATTCCTAAGCGATACAAGCTAACCACTAATACTTACAAATAAGGAAAATATAAACTAATTAAATATTGAGAATAAAATAAAATATACTATAAGTCAAATTATAAACGAAAGAATATTAAGATATAATATCTAAGATATATTCCATAAAAAAAAAATGAAAGGATGTCTTATCGAGGCAATCGTATTTGCTTCGAAAGATACGCTATCCAAGCACTTGAACCCACTTGGATCACATCTAGACAAGTCGAAGGGGGACGAAGGGTAATGACACGAAATGTACGACGCGACGGAAAAATACGGATATGTATATTTTCAGACAAACCCGTTACACTAAGACTCACAGAAACACGTATAGTGCAGGGAAAGGACGTGTGACTCTTCTCCCAACAATCATCGACTCTCCCAGTAATCATCAGCAGTTAGGTGTAAGCGGAAGAAAACAACGGTTAGTGATGACATAGATCATTAGATTAAACGTAGGCTTATGCTTGGTGGCGAGACAATCAGACGGGGCGGCGGAGAGGACCGGTGGAGGAAAACGTGGAAACGGGGGTGGGGGAGGGGGCAATGGCGGTGGTGGTGGAAAGGGTGGGCGGCGGCGGCGGCAGAGGGGAAAACGGAAAAGGGCTAATTTGAATAATAAACTGCTGAGTTTTTCCGTTTCAACTACCACACGACACCGAAGAACGAGTAGAAAAGTTTCAAAACAAAACGACAAATTTAAATAATGAAATCCAGCTCGGACTGTAATTCTTAATTAGATTGAATAGCGTCGAAGGAATTAGAAGACGACGAGACAGGAACAGGGACAGAAGTAGCCGTTGAGATTTAATGAATTGAAAAAGTGGGTGTCCTTTTTCTTGTGTCATTTTCAACCAAAATGGAATCTTAAATATTTGATGGGGCCGAAATTAGTGCCTTCTTTGTCTTGATTTTACCGCCAAAATAACGGTAACTGTCATGGTAATGGATCACTGAACAAGTAGCTGTTGAACAAAATCCCTCTCATCCTCTCTACCTCTGTTCATGATTTTTATTCATCACAATCATTAACAACAGATTAAAGAACAAATCAAAGAACAAAAGAATAAATCAAGTTCGTTACATAATCTAAACCAAAGAGAACATCATTAAGAATGCTTGCAGGGAGGAAGAGGAGCTCCACAGAGTCCACGGTTATGCTTGAACGCAGATGCCGGGAAATGGGTTTTATGCGGCGGAATTTTCCCACAAAGTCTGTTTTCCGACACGTCGAACTTCCAAAGCTTCTGCAAATTCAACACCTCTGCTGGAATCCGCCCACACAGCTTGTTCTTTGAAAGAAAAATCGTGGTCAATTCCGTCGCATTTCCAAGCTCCGCCGGAATTTCACCGGAAAGCTTGTTTCTAGCTGCGTCCAGTACATGTAACTCACTAAGTTCCGACAACGACTTGGGAATTTCCCCTTCCAATTCGTTGTCGGATAAAACAAGTGACTTGATCGAAGACATTGCTGCTCTGTTTCCGACATTCTCATCAATACAACTACTGAAATGATTGTGAGAAACATCAATTGAGTTGAAATGGCCAAGTGGGTCTTGAACTCCTTTTGAAAATATGTTGTCAAGGCACCCTGTGAAGTGGTTGGAATGAAGATCAAGATCCATTAACAGTAAAAGGTTCTTGAATTCAGCTGGAATTGTCGAATGAAATCCGTTCTTCGACAGGTTAAGGAATGAAAGATTGGTCATGTTCCCAAGCCAATGTGGCAACGGCCCTGTTAATCGATTGGCCGACAAATCAAGAACTGATATAGAAGATGAAGACAACCATTTGGGAAACGCCCCTTCAATCCCAGTTTTGGCCAAAAGTAGCCTAAAAAGCTTCATTTTTACAAACCAATTCGGAATCGATCGCAACCCAAGTGGATTAAACGAAAGATCCAAGCTCTGTAATCTCTGTAATTTTGATAACTGATGAGGAATTCCACCGGAAAGCGAATTCCTCGACAAATCCAGAGTTTGGAGGTTTTCCAAATTTCCAAAAGTCTTGGGAATCTTGCCGGTAAAACGATTGTTAGCGAAGAACAAATCAGTTAAAGTAGTTAAACGGCCAATAGACGACGGCAATTTCCCAGAAAGCTTGTTGTTCTCAAGAATCAGCCGTTGGATCTTTGCAAGCTTACCGACAGACGCCGGTAACCGACCACTCAGCTGGTTTTCCGACAGCCGGCAGAATATTAGGGAACTAAGTCCGGACACGGAAGAGGGAATGCTCCCGGAAATCTTGTTCTGATTAAGATACAGCAAAACCAATTCCGACAGTCCACCGATCGATGTCGGAATCCTCCCTGTTAGCTCATTTTCAGAGAAATCGAGATATCTGAGATTCGTAAGCTTCCCAATACTCCTAGGAATGCTACCGGAGAAATTGTTAGCATGAAAATCAAGATTTTTGAGCTGAATTAACTTCCCAATTGAGCTAGGAATCGGCCCCGAAAGTCTATTTCCGGACAGACCCAATTCAGAAAGGCACTTAAAATGCTCAAAAATGGAAGATGGGATGATTCCAGAGAGCTGATTGTTGCCAAGATAAAGTTTTTCCAATCGAAAAAGACACCCAAAGCTTCTAGGAATCGAACCCATGAGCTTATTTGAATCGAGGAACAAATGGGTGAGTCGTGATAGCTTACCAAACTCGAAAGGAATTCGACCGCTAACGTCTTTGAGATTGCTGAGGTCGAGAAATTGAAGAGACGACAAGTTTCCAAGAAAAGGGGAGAGAGATCCAGACATGTAAGTGTCGGCGATGAAGTCGATGCCGGAGACAATCCCGGGACGGGTGAGGTTGGTGACTCTGCCGTAGGAATCGCAGGCGACGCCGTCCCAGGAGGAGCAGCAGTCGGTGGCAGAGTTCCATGAAAGGAGGAGGTGAGAAGGGTCGGAGGTGATTTTTAGTTTGAAGTGGAGAAGGGCTTCTTTGTCGGTGGGGTGGCATGAATCAGAGGGGGGAAGGAAGAGAGATGCAGCTAGGAAGAGGAAGAAGAAGCGGAGAGAGAAGGCCATTGTTGCTGTTAATGGGATTGAAGCCGTTGCAGGGGAAGAGCTTTATAGAGAAAGTTGCAGGTAATGGATATGGAGTTATGTTTATTTTAAGGAGTGGTTTGGTAGCGTGCTGCACGGATTGAGGCATGGAATGTAGTGGGTGTATTTAGTGGAGAAGTGAAATAAATGTGTGTGCTTTCACCAACTTCTTGGGACTCACATAAATAGATATGAACCCAACTCATGAACATGGAATCATAAATGGTTTTGTGTTGTAGGATGGATCTTTAGTGTCGTAGTACGAGACGTTTAGGCTAATAGATAAGAGAGAGTTGGTGCGTAGTTTACACGCACCTTCTCTTGATCCAACCAACTCATGTCGTCGCCAATCCAGGCTCCTATGAGTAGAAATTCAGGCTCACCATTCATTTGCATAACTCCATCCCAATTTAGGAGACAAGGATCCTTGACCCAGTCTCAAACACATTAATCCCGTAAAGACATTTATTGTGCTAGTCTTATCTTTTGTCGCTAGCTTCTGTTGCATGAGTAAAGGAAGATGGTTTCACTGAGCACAAGACTTGTAACTGATTTGCTTGGGAATCCTATTCCTTTTGCTGGTGAGGTAGTTCCAATTGTTGTTGTGAACATGTTTGTAATAGCCTAAACTTGTTGCTAGTAGATATTTGTCCATTTCAGACCTTTATGTATCGACGTCAGTGTGACGGTTTTAAAACGCGTATATTAAGAAGAAGTTTTTGCACCCCAGTAAGATCCTAAATTAGTCTGAGAGGGAAAACGAAACATTTTTTATAAAGGGTGTGGAAACTTCTCCGTAGTACCTGCGTTTTAAAATCGTGAGGCTGATAGAGCCAAAACGGATAATATCTATTAGCGGTGGACTTAGGCTCTTATATTGTTATCGAACACAGTGGGCTTGGACATTTACAAAACTATAAATGTTCACGAGTTGGGGACAGTGTTCACAAGGCTAGCATTTTTAATATTTAAAAATTTAAGTTTTATGAAATGTATTAATTATGTAAATAAATAAATAAATATACGAGATTCCATTGTAGTATATTTATAGAAAATTAAATAAGACAAAACAACGGTAAAAAAAAATTGACATAAATAAGGCATTAATCCATAATGTCAACCTCGGATGTCGAAGCTTAGAATAAATATCATGTGATGAAAATCCAACATGATTCTTCTTTTGTTTTTTTTTTTTTAGGACAGCATATAATCTATAGCTGATAAGAATGTCGCAATCCTGTCCGGAAACCATTTTTTTGGATGGGCCGCCAGTTTAGAATTGGGCCACCGGCCCAATTGAAACCCGGGGCGGCGCCGTGTCGGGTTTGATGCGATGAATTAGGGCACTATTTTAAACTTTTCAATTTTGGTCAAAATTTGATCCTCCGCTTGGAATTATAAATCACAATTGGCGGTGTAGTCGTTCTAGTTTTCATGAAATTGATCCACCACAATTTCATTCCGTCTTCCATTTTCTCCTCATCTTTATCGAATCGTAACTCAAATCGTCTGCGCCAATTCGAGGCAGAGAATGTGCGGCGATATGTCCCCTTGGCCATGAGACGAGTCCCTGCGAAAATAATCCCCAATTTCCAGTCGTCAAGCGTTTACCCTAAATCGATCATGGCTAGCGACGGAGCCAGAGAAATCCAATCAGTCGATTTGCAGAGGACAGGCGTGGAGGAGAAAGAAAAGAAAGCGACAGAGAAGAAGGCCGTGAAATTGCCGCCGCCGCCGCCGGAGAAGCCGTTGCCGGGGGATTGTTGTGGTAGTGGATGCGTCCGATGTGTGTGGGACGTGTATTACGAAGAGCTTGAAGATTACAATAAGCTTTGCGAGAAAGGTTCGGCGTCCAATTCTTGAGATTCTGAATCGTATTCTTCTTTCGAGCCCTAATTTTAATAAGAAAAATCTGTATCCAAAATGAATCTATTTCTGAATCCGTTTATTGTAAGTTGATCGAAATCAAATTCGATCTGTATTTGAATCTGTGTTTCTATGCCACAAATATTCTTCAATAACATTAAGCCGAAGAGCTTCATTTCATCCTTTTTCCATCTCTTTAGAAGAACGCTAAATTCGTGGGTGAAAAATGAAGAAAGTCATACCATGACCACGTTGACCTTGGACTACCATTTTTATACGCAAAATTATATATATATATATATATCACACCTCTTTTACTTTTGATTTTTTTTTGTATATATGTTTTGCTATTTTAACTTTGTTTTTATTTTCAATTTTTTTTAAAACAAGAAGTAAATTTTAGGAGTGTTTTTTTTTTTCTTACTGTTGAGCCCTTTTTATATTGAGATCTTGCCTCGAGATCTCGATTGGAGAGGAAAACGAAACATTTCTTATAAGATTTTGGAAACTTCTCCCTAGTAGACACGTTTTAAATCGTGAGATTGACGACAATACGTAACGAACTGTAATGGGCCAAAATGGACAAGATCTACTAACGGTAGGCTTGGATTGTACAAATAGTATCAGAGCCAGACATAGCTAAACACCGGGCGGTGTGTTAATGAGGACGTTGGACCTAAATATTACATCACCTAATTATAATTTATTCACCTAATTATAATCTATTCAATAAAAAATTGTGTAAATTTTGAAATAAAAGTAGAAAATTACAGTGAACAGTACATTTAATTTCTTAAATCAATATAATTCGATTAATTAATTATTGTTTAAAGTTAGAAGTATTAATTTTTTTAATATAAAATTATTTATCTGTAAAATTATAATTAGTGGCTTATCTGTTATATTGGAATTGGAATGGATTGTGCTCGGAATCTTTTCCACTAATTGAATTAAAAAAAAAAAAACAAATATCTTTTTTTTTCTCTCTCTCTTTTGGCGGGCCGTTTAGGCCCAATAGGCCTGGATATATAAGCTTAGCAGTCGAAGGATTGTGTGTAATTTTGGACGATGATGCGCGGATTTCAGTTGACTCTGGCTCTGGTGGTGATCACCCTCTCCGCCCTTCGGCCAAGAGATGGCCTTATCGGAGCCGACGCTTCGACTTCCACTTCCGCCTTCGTTCAGAATGTCATCTTCTCTAACAGGATTGCCATGTTCTCCAAATCCTACTGCCCGTATGTTCTCGTCTTCTTTTTCTTTTCTAATTAGATGAACGCACGCTTTCTGTTTTTCTTTTTCTATTTATTTTTCCTGCGTATTTCGATGGCTCAATTCGTGATATTTAGGCTTAGGAATGATTGAGTTATTGGTGCCAGTCAATCTGTAATTTCTATTAGTAGCGATTCTCGTATGTTTGAGAAATAAATTTAGGATATACGAGTGCTGGATTCGGATGTTTTTGGTCAAATTTGGAGTGAATAGGAAGCTTATATTTCCCTTGTAGAGATGGGACCAAGCCAAGATAGTTTGCTCCAAGGACAGAAAGCTTGTTTGATTGCTACTGTGGCTTCTTTTTTCTTGGTGGTTTCTAGCAGATCTGTCGTCCTTGAATTATTAGAATTACGCGGTTGTCGGCGGTGGATTGAACTATTTTTATTTTGATTAGTTCTTAGGTATGTGGAGAGAGAACTGCTTAGATGTCCAACCGTAAATATTGATCACAAAATGAATTCATTTTCTATCTAGATTGCCATTCACATGTGCGATCTTTTCAATTGGATTTCTGGAATCAGTATTACTAGTGGATTCTTTACACCGTTTAGTCCCCCTGATTTTATGCTATTCCTTCTTTCTTGAAGTGAGGCTTATAGAGATTGCGCCATGTTAGCTATTTCTTATTTACGTACTGTTCCAACTTCCAATTGAAGTAGGTTTCTGTAACTTCTTTTGAGATTGGGTTGGGGTTTTCCTCTCTCTCTCTCTCTCTCCAGCAATTTCATTGATCAATGAAATTTGCTTTTTGCTTCTTCTAAAAAAGAAAAAAGAATCATCCTATACGAATAGTGAAGACCTACAAAATTATGGCACTTCAAATGGTTTCTTAATAATTTAATAACAATAATTAAGCGATTCATATTCTATCTTTGTCTTATTCTACTGGTAGATATTGCATGGGTGCCAAACGCATCTTCAGTGAACTTCACGAAAAACCTTTTGTTGTGGAGCTTGATCTTCGAGGTATTTATTCAGTGTTAATTTTGTTGATCATTTGCAAATTCAATAACTGTTTGAAGAATCATATTCATGACCACATAATGAGTATCTACATTTACATGTAGATGATGGACCTCAAATTCAGAGTGTCCTGCTAGACCTGACAGGCAGGCGCACTGTTCCTCAAATTTTTGTGAATGGCAAGCACATTGGTGGCGCTGATGGTGAGTTCTCTCGGCTTCTTAATTATTTGAAAGTTCTCTACGTCTTATTCAGTGACGTAGAGTAAATTTCTCATTTCCATCACCACTTGGTTTGATTTCCATATATTTTTCAGATCTTAAAGCCGCTGTTGCTAGTGGTCAGTTGCAGAAACTTCTTGCATCAAGTTGATTGATTGCCTTCTGGGAACGAGGAAGCACATATGTGTTGGACTGAAGCTGCATATCAGTGCAGAGGAATCTTAACTTTGTGAAAACTTTTGATAATATTTGTTATTCGTTGATACTCTGCAACAGAGAATGCTGTTGCAAATTTAGGCCTTGGCTTTAATGAAAATATGCCTTTTTATTTTTCATTATTTGAAGCCGTAGTGAAAAGGTGTTGAGTTTGGATTATCTCTGCTTTTGCTGTGTCTCATAAATGTGGTAGTGGCACACAAATTGAAGATGGATTTTCTACATTAGCTAGATTTTGAAATATGCCAATTTTGTTTGTTCTGAAATAATCTTTGGAAAAAATTTCAGCTATTAAATTATGGGGTGAGCTTCTGTTAGAAAAAGAACCAGGTGTCCAGTCATGACGAAGTGCCTATACTTATCCAAGAAGCTGTGGTGAAAAAATGAACTCAAAATATAATTTCTTCCATGAAGGGTATTCGAATACAATAGTATGTAATTATTTTCAACTTTATGGATATAATTCTAACAATTTGTGGACCAAATATCTTACACTCTCTCTCTCTAATGAAGTTCTGGCAGCTCACAAGTAGCTGATTGCAGGGGACAAGGTATGTGCCTGTGCCTATTTACCTACTGCATTCTTCTGAAGATGCTAGGTGGTCTACAAATCTTCTTGCTAGGGGGTAATTTTAATTTTATTTTTATTGAATTGGATGCTTGTTTTTCTACCAAATCAGGAAGACTCTGCATAAGTATCTGGTCTCCAATCGCCTTTCTGAGCACTCAGAAGCCCTTCCTGATTTTTGGAGAAGGTCAAGTGAACTTCCCAACGGAGAGACTTCAACAGGTTCTCCACTTCTCCAATCGTGCTGGATTCATCTCGGATAATCAATTTGCCTCCAGGCCTTACTATTCGATCCACCTCTGCCAAGACAGGTTGCAGTTTGCACCTGTACAAGAGAAAAAGGTCAGGCTTGAATCTTTATCTGTGCACTAGAAGCTTAAAATATCGTATCTTATTCTACCTCTTTTTCAACTTTGAGAAAAGATGATCAGCGTGTAGTAGATCATATGTTCTTGGATATGTGCTGAACGACTCACACCAATCATGGTAAATCCCAAAGAGACCGCGCTCGTAGATCACCGGAAGTGTATCAGGAGAGTCAATATTCACCACATTTATTACCCAGACTTTAAGGTCTCTCAACGCTGCTGCAAACCTGCAAGGACGAGTCATGCATGAGGTATCATGAAACGCTTTCATTCAGAAGAATAAGTTTTGTGGTTGAGTTGTGAATAGACAGAATGATCTACTCTACCCGCCATAAACAGATCTCATATCCATCACATTTCTGATGTTGGACAGATTTATGCCTAATCCACTCATGTAAGTTTTATTCACAACTCTTTTCCAATGTTCATAATCAGTTGTGAAATCTTGCGGAGCTGGTTTTCCATAAATTCCCATTTGTGAGCTGTTTAGCCAGTAAGGAGGTGCTTGCAACCGCTTCGGCCATTGTTGTGGCCAGTTACTGCCCCTCATTGCATTGTCAACTGGTACACGGTGCATGCACGCTTGCAATGGCACGTACCTGAAAACGGAAGTCCGATGCTAATCAAATCAAACCCATCAGCTAAAACCATTGAAGAACATTGAGCTCGCAATATCCCCGCATGCTTGCTTACCAAGCTGCGTTTGGATCATCGTCGTTTTTGCACATGGGAGGACGCTTGTGTTTTCTTTGATCGTAGCATTCATTTGAGGCTGGTTTCCTGTAAATGGCGGCCCCAATGGAATTCAGCTTGTCTTTCTGAATCGTCACTAGCTCCCAACACATGGACTTCGTCAAATCAGACATTTCTGAGGGGAAAACAAAAATCCATAGAAATGACAGTGGCAGGTGCGGTAAGTATCTGAAGCGCTCTCAAATCTATTTGTTTGTTTATTTGACACGTTATGTTACTCGTCTTACCCTTCCAAATCTCGATGTCTTCTTCCAGGCTCTGATACACGGGAGTTGCAGACCAAACAAAAAATCCACCTGGCCTCAGCACTCGGTTCAATTCTAAGAGAAGCATCCCTCCTACATGCGCAAGCAAAGAAAAAGGTCCCATTTCCTAATTATAAAGCTGAAATTACAAATTAAGAAAACAGGAAAGCCCATGATTGATTTTGATTGTAAGACCTTCTGCATGCCAAGGCACTCTACACCGAGCACAGTGAATAATGTCAAAAACCATGCTTGGAAATGGCAGACGTTGTGAGCCCATGACAGCAGAAATGGCCGGAATTCCCCGCTCAAGTGCGAATTGCACCTGAGCTTCATGCTCGTCTTTTGGAGCAAACGACATTGTAAGAACATCCTTTTCGAACAGATAGCCGCCGAAGCTGGCAACTCCACAGCCCACGTCCAATACCACTCTTGTCCTCTTCCCCCATGCAATATCCGGTACAGCCTGCACCCATCTCCTACTTGATTTATTTTGGAATTTAATACGAAAATCAAGAAGGGAATTTCACTTTTTTTTTTTAACCTGTTGAATAAAATCTATGTAGTGGAGAGCGCCGTGGATGAACTGGGTGCCACCGCCGGGAAAAGTCAAGAACTCGCCCGTGACCTTGACCCAGTTTTGGTGGCCTTTCACTTCGGCTAGCTTTGTATGCGGCACATTGTGGTACCAAATCTGTGACAACCCACGAATCCCATGAGGACGGGTTCATGAATGACTAGTCACAAATAACAATGTCATCTATCTGTGTATACCTTGTCCCTGCTTTTGGGCCATTCGATGCATCTTTTGTAATTCTCTGGCAGTGCGACAAGGCAGGTGGGTCCCTCCTCGGGGCAGTGCCTCTCCCGGTGCTCGAAGTGCTTTGTTGTACGCAGCTGCTTCAGTGCTTTCTCGTTGTCTAAACAGGGGATGTAATCGGTGCCCGCCGTGACGTTGCAGAGCTGCCAAGTGTACCCGTAGAGGCTGCCGTTGCTAGTGGATTCTTCCCGCCGGCGATCTTTCTCGTTCTCCGATTGCGCGGCTTGTGTCGACCACGACTTTTTAGACTCCTTCGACTCTTTGGGTATTGCCGAGGTATCAAGTGACCCTGCAGTGGTTGTCTCTTCCACTTTGTTTTCTGTTGTTTTTGAGTCCTTTGGTGTTTCTTGGCTCTCCCTGGATTCAGTTTTCTGTGATTCTTGATTCTCAGTTGGCATTTTGTTGCGTCGGTGTTCCTCTCGTGGCTGATTTTGCTCCGACGCAGTTTCTTCACTGTTGTTGCTTGTGTTTGAACTGTCCTGTTGTTGTTGCTGTTGTTCGGTCTTGCCATCATCCTGGTTTTGGGTTTCAGATTCTTGTGGGACTTTTTCAGCTTCAGTTTCAGGTTTCTGTTGATCGTTTTCAGAGTTTCCGCTGTTTTCTGGGATGTCGGCTGCTTGCTGTTGATCGGTTTGAGAGTCTCCGCTGTTTTCTGGGATGTCGGCTGCTTGCTGTTGATCGGTTTGAGAGTCTCCGCTGTTTTCTGGGATGTCGGCTGCTTGCTGTTGATCGGTTTGAGAGTCTCCGCTGTTTTCTGGAATGTCGGCTGCTTGCTGTTGATCGTTTTGAGAGTCTCCGCTGTTTTCTGGGATGTCGGTTGCTTGCTGTTGATCGGTCTGTGAGTCTCCGCTGTTTTCTGGGATGTCGGTTGTTTGCTGTTGATCGGTTTGAGAGTCTCCGCTGTTATCTGGGATGTCGGTTGCTTGCTGTTGATCGGTTTGAGAGTCTCCGCTGTTTTCTGGGATGTCGGTTGCTTGCTGTTGATCGGTTTGAGAGTCTCCGCTGTTTTCTGGGATGTCGGTTGCTTGCTGCTGCTGCTGCTCTTCATTTGTAATTGCTTGTGGAATTTCTTGTTGACTACCATTGTTTTCAGGCTCTTCCGGCAGCTGTTCTTGTGGTTGTTCTTGAGGATTAATCTCGAGCGATGCTTCATTCGATTTATTATTATCAGATTCCACAGTCTCCGTGGATTCATTGCTTTGATCAGATGAATTAGCGTTTTGTTCTTGGCTCCCTCCCAAGTCTACCTTCTCCTCTACTTTTTGGCTCTCAACCACTTGTTGGTTTTGAGTCATTGCACTCTCCTCCGACAATTGAGCCTCATTTCCGCCACCCCCGTCTTGGTCTCTAGATTCCTGCCCGTCACTGGCACTGTCCTTTGATCGGTCATCGATAACATTACTATCATTACTATCATCGGATTTAATAGCATCAAGAGGGAGATCACCAGGATTATCCTCGAACACCGCAGACGCCTCCTTATCCTCTGATCTAGGGAGTTGGAGATTGTCCATGGTGGTAGTAGCGGAGGAGGTATCGGAAGAAGTCCGAGTGGTGGTCTGCGGAGGTACAACAGAGGTGGAGGTGAGCATCCATATTCCGAGAACACATAAGGCTAAGAAGATGAGGGTTGTAACAGTGGAAGCATAGGAAGAAGAGGAGGATCTCTTGCTACTGCGGGGCCTTCCAAGCGCCATTAGGAGAAGAACCAAAAGTGAAAAATGGAGGAATTTGGAAGCTTGGATGGTTTTGGGTGTTGTGGTGAGTGAGTAGAAATAGTACAGGTCGAGATGGTAAGAGAGAGAGAGAAGAAATGGAAATTGTGGAAGAGAGACAAACATGTTGTTTCCAAATTTGGAAGGTTCCCAAGGAGAGAAGATCCAAACTACTCGGAGTAACTAATTTGGCCTTAATTTTTTATTTTTTTTTATTTTTTTTCCACGTTCCTTTTTTTGCATGGGATTGCATGGCACCACTCTCTCTCGCTCGCCAGCTTTTTTCTTTTTCTTTTTCTTTTATTATTATTATTTTTATTTCTTTAAATCATTTTGAGCCGGGAACCCATGTCCAACTGAAAGTGGGCCGTGGGCCGAACCAGTAAAATAAGAGAGGCCCAATAGAACCAAAAAGAAGAAAAAAAAGGAAGTTGGTGAAAGTGACAATCAAACACTGTGAAAGGGAAGAAAAATAGGATCTAAGGCTGTGGTTGGGGATGGAATGGGCCATGGGGTTGCCCCAGCTAGCATCAAATCTAATCTTCAGTCAACAATGGGATCTTGGCTAACTCATTCACTCATGTCCTTATCCAATGGCCCGCCCGCACTCATGTCCTTATCCAATGACCCGCTTCACCCATTCTCACTCGAAAACCTTCAAATTTACACAAATTATTCAATGTGACCGTCGCTCAAACCGCAGTAGAACGGTTTTTCTTAATGATTATTAGATATAGATTTAAAAATATATATCTCTTTACATAAATTATTGTAACTTAGATCTAAAAAATGTTATGGCATGAATTGATATGCTATAAAGTGGGTTCTTTTCTTACATCATGTGAAGTGACTTATTATGAGTGTGATTCAAATGTGTGGCCCAATGAAGATGGTGAAATGTGTGTATGAGGGAGGTGGGTTGTCAAATCAACGACCATTTTTAAATGATGAATGTTCCCAAAGGTTATGTTCTTCGCCGAAAACCTTGCCTTCTCTTCGGCCTTCCCCCTCCTATTTTCATTTCCTTTTTCTATTTCTTTTTCCATTATTTAATTTTTTTTAATTCAACAACCTCTCACGGTCTTTTAAATATTACATTTCTTTAAACTCAGAAATTTAATTCAGTTGCTTGAACTTTTGACTAAATATGATTTTAAATATTAAAATAATAATTTAATTAGGAAACTGTGAAGAAGAAGAAGAGGAAGGGCAATGATTTAAGGGTTGGGTGTCGAGTAATCCATAATTAAGCCATTATCTTCTTAATAATTTGGTACAAAGCTCGATGAGTGAATTGCCTTAATTACCCTACTTATAGTAGGGTTTATCATAAAATCTAATTTTAATTTGTTGCTTTAAACCCTAAACCCCATTATTTTTCGTATTTTTTAGCTGCATTTTATTTTAAATTTGATAATGTTGTATTTCATTTACGGGTATATACAAGGGTTGAAGTTGGACTTGTTCGAAATTTCGAATTAGTTGGATTAACTACTTGAGAATGGAACGGAACGGAGTTTGCAACTCAATAATAACTAAAATCTTATTTCCTAATATATAATTTTTTAAATAAATTTGCGCGGATAAAATTGAACCAAAAAAAAAAAAAAACTCTACCTCAATGAATTAATTCAAAATTTTAAAATGAAATATTTTAATGTTGAATGTTTATCATGATGATTCTAGTATGTCTTGTCGAGTCAACTTGAATTGATGTTGCGTGATTAATTAAAACACTTTTACAATTCTATAGCACGGTACAAATCAAATATCTTTTGTATATATTTTTTTTAATAAAAAGTCAAATGTCTCATTAGTAATTATTCACATCTAATTTGTTATTATACATAAGTTTAATTAATGCCCAATAAATAATTATGAAAAAAAAATAAGAATAACAAAAAAAAAAAAAATGGAATAAGCCAAATTTATTAGATAAAAATTATCTATCATTAGACTCAATTTTTAAAAGATCTCTTGTCTGGTTCATTCTCCATTTAAACAGGATCCTCACTTCATATAAATTTCGTGGGTCCTAACTCTTATCTTATGAACTAAATCGACGTGTTTGGATGTAACGGGTTTTAATTTATCCGACCCAAACCTCCAACACACATGTTACTCTCTTAGTATGGCCCCCAATATTATTTTCTGTTTTTTATATATATAATTTTATTGTTAAGGTAAAATAATAAATGGGGAATTAATTAAAATAATAATAAAAAGAGGATCAGGGGGGAAGGGAAAAGGTACGAGGAGAAGTGGCTGTGTGTGTGGTTGTAGAGCCACGCCATCACAAGCACTAAATAAATATTCATATAATAAATATCTAATTATTTCTTTTTTAATTTTTAATCCAATCTGCCCAAAATCCCCCATTATTTCATTATTATATATATAAAAAAATATTCCAATCATTTTCTTTCATTATAAATAAAAATAAATCAATCTAAAAATAATATTAATAGTCAAACCCGACCGAGTTCTGTAATTTATTTAGGGTTGTAGTCAAACCAAATCGGTTCATTAGCTCCATCGAAACCAATTCAACCCATTTATCATAAAACTCATGAGGGATCGAATTAATCTAATATTTAATAAATGTAAACCAATAAATAAATAATGAAAATAAATTGTAAAAAATAGAATTTAAATTAGAGAAAAATAAAATGAGAGACAAGTAGCGGGGTTTCCGCAAAAGGAAGGAAGGGGGGCAAAAGCTGGTGGGTCGACATGTGGGCGACCGACAGCCGTCGGATGAAGACGATGAGATCTTGAGCCGAGGAGCGAACAAGAACAAAAACAAGAAGAAGAACAAAATTGGCTGTGTCGTTTGGAAGAGAGAGTGGAAAAAGGGTCATAACTGCAGCAGATTCAGAAACAGAGATTAAGTGGGGCGGAGAAAGGCATGGCGGCGCTGCAGACAGAGCTGTTATTCTCCGCCATAAATGCCACTCTCAGACACAAAGGAGGCCAGAAATTCAAAGCGTGATTAACTCTCAGCCACCACCAGCTACCAATTTCTTTCTTCTTTCAGTTGATCACCCAGGGGTTGGACCCTCTGATTATGGATATTAGGTCACCTTCAGGTTCTTCTGGCTCACACCAACAATGTCAATGTCTGGTTTCTTCACTCTAGGCTCCACCGACCAAGAACACCAACAACCCGACACGAATCGCCCAAACCAAACACTCCCCCCGGACACCTTGTTTTGGTACAAGCCCGGAAGCGTCGAGCTATGGCAGCCCCAACAGCACCAACAACAATCGCTATTTCAAGCGCGGTCTCACAACAACAACAACAACAACAATCTGTACTCGGATGAATCCTCGTCCAGATCCGGTAATTTAATGATGATTAGCTCCGGATCAGGCGGAGGGGGAATCAGCTGCCAAGACTGCGGCAACCAAGCCAAAAAAGACTGTACCCATATGCGATGCAGGAGTTGCTGCAACACCCGAGGCTTCCCTTGCCAGACCCATGTCAAAAGCACTTGGGTCCCTGCCGCCAAGCGCCGTCAGCGCCAACAAAAACTCGCCGCCTTACAAACCCATCCCAAACGCCACACAGATTATAACATCCCCACCACCAACACTTCTGGTACAATTACTTTTTCTTTTTTTCTTTTTTTCTTTTTTTCCTCACCAATTTATACATATTATAATTTTTTAATTTGAAGTTACTTTGAATTTAGGGTTAGAAATTGGGAATTTCCCGGCGGAATTGAACTCCCCGGCTGTATTCCGTTGCGTTCGTCTCAGCTCCACCGACGACACCGACGATCAATACGCATATCAAACGGCAGTGAACATCGGAGGACATGTTTTCAAGGGAATTCTATACGATCAAGGACCCGAAAATAATTATCTTCCCGGTGAGACCTCGTCCGGCGGCGGTGGTGGGTTGCAACCACTGAATTTCATCGCCGGTGCCGCCGATGCCAACGCTGCTTCCTCCGCCGCATTACCCTTACTCGATCCCTCTTCGTTATACTCAGCGCCGCTCAATAGCTTCATGGCGGGTACGCAATTCTTCCTACCACCAAGATCCTAAAAAAAAAAAACTTATCATATTTTCATTTTCACTTTTTTTTTTCCATTTCCGTTGATTATTTCTGCATATCCTGAAAATTTGTAGTGAAAAAAAGAAAACCCTTCACAAAATCGGGGAATAATGTGGAAATGTTTATTTGTTTTTACATTAAATTAAAGGTTTGGGTTCAAATTTCAATGCGTAGTTTGGAACATACAAAATTATTGTTGTTGAAATCCAAAGCCGTTTTTGTGTACGACATGTTTGTGGTTGCGTAGAGTCTTGTGCTGTTCCTGTATGTGTTTTTATTTTTCATTATTATTATTGTTATTGTTATTATCATAAATAAATAAAATATGCATTTTCTTCTTTTATATTTGGATAAACCAACAACCTAAGACGACAACAATGTTGTGCATAAATTAATTTTGTAGAATTAAACTTCAAAAACCCAACATTTAAATCTCTCTTTCTCATATTATATGCTTCAAACCTTAAACAATTTGTTAAACGTTTTTTTTTTGCATGTTGTTTACTCTGTGGAGCTCTCAGCTTCAACTTCATCTTCTTCCTTCTTTGTTCTTGATCTCGTGTTTGCATGTCTAAATATCATCATTTCTGAGAATATTTGTTCAAATCATCGTATCTAAATGGTGGTTAATGGAAAAAGCAATAAATGGATATAAAATATTTGATTAGAATAAAAGGTCAAATATAATACATAGAGTAAACCTGCAAGGTATTTATGTATGATAAAGTGTCAAATATGATAAAGATGGTATACTATAATTCAGGCTATTTCATCAAATGACATTAGGTTTTCTTATACTCGATGATAAGCTATTATATGTGTTTAAGTTGATTGGTTCGAACTATTTGTCTCGTGGGCGTATGAAGATTACGAACCCCGACCCGCACAACAAGAAGATGGGTGATTAAGATTCGAAATTTGAATGATTTGGTTAGGTGATGTAGGAGGTTGATGTTTATGGGTGGTTAAAGAATTTGGAATTGTGTATGAAAATTGACATGTTTCCCAGAGGAAATGGAAGAAAGGAAGCTTAAAAGTGAAGAAAAGAAAGGAATAGTGATGGGGAAATGAAGGGTTTTGAATCAGTGGATGCATGTGAATATCAGTATGAGGAAGCCAACCCATGGATTCGCCTATATATATATATATATATATATATATATATACACCATTTCACAAATTTGGTGTCAAATCATAAAGCGACTTAAACAGCGTGAGTGAGAGCGACGTTGCATAGCACAAAAAGCCAACCCAGTTTTTTGTTCTTGAAATTAAATGGGTTTTGTTATTGCATGAAAGTGAAGAAGAAATGTGGTATTTTTGAAGCAATCCATAAATGGGTATGAAATTAAAATACAAAAAGAAAAGGAGAAGAAAGTGAAGTGGAAGAGCCTACTTTTGAGAGTTGACCTAAGGGGAGACAAATGGGTGTGGCGTTTTTTTCCTTGAGCAGCAGCACAACGGGGGAATCGATGACCTATTTTACCTAAGGAATTCAAAATCCAAAATAATAATAATAATACAAACGCATGGTGGTTTCCTTTACACCAAAAGCAAAATATAATCTTCTCACGCATCCACACACATATATCTATGATCTTTTCGGACTCCAACGACCATCAACAAACAAAATCCACTAATCTTGGCTAAAATAAGCAGGGAACAATATTGAAGATGTCTAACATTAGCTAATTAAAAGAATGATTATGGGTTTATAAGTATCGAGTGCATCTCCATTGGTATAAAGTCTTTTGGAGAAACAAAATACAAAGCCATGAAAGCTTATATTCAAAGTAGACAATATCTATCGAAGGGAAATTATGAATAATAATAATAAGAAGAATGAAGGGGGGAGGGGGAGGGTGGTCCCATATAAAGATTAGGGGAGGGTGCCCTTATTAGCTTAGGCCACACCCTAAAACAATCCCTTACATTCTTCTGAGATTTCTCATACGCGTGACAGAAGAATGAATGGGAATATGAGAATGGAAGAAAGGAACAGATGTGGATTTTTAGACACACATACCAGTAAGCTTTTGATGGGTTTTGGTTGAAAAGCTTTTGATGGGGCGTTTACATTCTACTCTGCTCTATAAATTACATCTCCAGATTTACGGAAATGATCCTCCTCTGTTAGCAAAGCATTTAAAATCAAAACACTTTATGAGAGACTGTTTCTTACTTGTTACCAATTGGTTGAAGGCCGAGGCTTTCCCTTAATCGAATTCAAGTGTTGGATAACAAAAATGACTCCCATTACAAGGATGAGGCAGCCCACCAGCGTACTGAAAAAGAGGGCCCCTGGTTGCCTGGTCTGGACAAAGCCATACACCCCAGTAGAGGTCACAAGGATAATATCTGTAAGACCATCGTTTGAGAAGTCCTCGCAGATGAGGGCATGGGTAGGAGAGGCAGGAAGATCGATTGATGCCTGTATGCTTCCCCCAGGAGATATGACTATGGCTTCTTGCTCTCCTGCAGCAAGGACCATTGCTCGATCGTCATGCACTCGCAAGTAGATCGTCTTGAGTGTGGGAATCACTGTACCAGCTTCCATCATTCCTGATGGAGATGGAACATTAGACCAAGAAGCACCTGTTAAGATCTGCCACTGCCAATCAGCACCATGACCGTGCAATCCAGGTGAATACGACGTTACCTGCACCAAATAATACCATCGAGTCATCAAGCCGACTCGTATAAACATAAAAAGGAATGAAGTCTGATTGATTTACTGATGGCAAAAAAGTAAACACAGACTGGATTGTGGATGATACAAGCAATGCATTCAAGATGATTTAGTTTTATGTTCACATTTCACTGACATGTTTCAAACTTGTTATGGAGGTTTACATCCGTGCAGTCTATTTCTTGATTAAACAAAAGAGAACTCTCCTGTATGACCGATGGGATGAACATGCAATGAATATGCAAGGCACACAAATAACCAGAAGCGTCCCAATATCTTTGCATTTAAGCTATGCCATAATTACTTCCAACATATATAACGAAAAGAAAATGAGAAGGAATATTAGAGTGCATTCAAGTTAAATTAAAATGTACAACAAATTACTACAAAAAAAAAAAAGGTGCAAATAGATGCCAATTTGGCAATACCTCTCCTCGGTTGGTCAAGAAAACAACATCGCCATGGCTTCCCTTACGCTGCCTATGACCATCTTCTCTTGGGATAATAATGGGAGTTGCAACCTCTAAAGAACCAATGTCTGGAATACGGCCAAATTTTGAAAGTTCTCCGTGTTGGAAGAAGTTAAAAGGGGAAAAATGGCATATGGAAGCATTAAAGAGTTGTTCTCGAACAGGTACCCCAGAGGTTGCAATAGCCCAACATGGTTGAATAACTTCCATTGATCCAGTAACCACAGTGCGCTCAGCACCATTTCCTCCAACAGCCTGAGTGTTAAAAAATTTGAAAATTTCCCAAAATCGAAACAATTATCCTAAATGTAGACTTTTACTAAAATGTGAACACCACAACTTCATCAGTGATATTTAAATGCTATTTAGAATGTATGCATTCAATTTCTTTCTCGCAAATGCAGGACTTGAGAAATTGAATGATACTAAATGGCTAATGATGGTATCTAAACCTATATGCAATTGGAATAAGCAAGAATCAGGAAGCAGGTAAGACATGTACTCAATATCAGACTCGGAAGATCAGGTAACATAGAAAATTGCACAAGGTGAAGTAGCCATGTCTTTCTGTTCACTCATCAAGGCAAGCCGTGCACAATATTAAAGAATATCCACTTCCCCATGCAATCAGGAATACTGAGTATCTGAACATGAATAATAAAATTCCAAGACTATTTAGAATTGAACTGCGCACATTGCAGTAATTAAGGAACCAAGAACAATGCCCTAAGGCCAACGTAAATATTGATATGTCAAGAAAATTTGTGCACCTGAACATGATCAAGGACTCCATCTCCATTGATATCAGCATGCAAACCACCTTCTTGAAGATGTACCTGGAAAATCAATAATGATTTCAATTTGGAACAGAAGTAGTTTGCATAGACGTAAAAGAAGAATTTTCAATTTTATGTATATGGTATAAACTAAAAGATGAAAATGTGGGCAAGCCGAAATAGGTTCTTGAAATTTTTTTAAGGAATAACATATAGGATTCTTTTGCTGCAACAAAGAAACACCTTTTCATTTGAGATGAAATGCAAAAAACCATTACGTAGTCCTGAAAATCTAGCAGATAACGATCATAAAAGCACACCTTGCAAACAGTGCGGCCAGATGCCAAATGCAGAGCTTCTATACCTTCTTTTTGATGAGCCACGACAACATTAGGAAGCCACCAAAGCTTGGTATAGTTAGTTATGGTAGGAACATATGGAAGACGCTGTATCAAAAATATTAAGAAGTTATGAAAAAAATACTAATAACTGAGAATGAGGAGCAGTTTTACCCTGCCAACATGAGCTTAGTTGTGATACTCCTTGCCTCATTCAAATCCACCCCAAGATATTTACTCATTTCATTGAGGTCAGAGATTCAAATCTCACTCGCTATATTTGTCGTACGAAAAAAAGGGACATTGAAATAATCTAAAATGGACACTTTTTGAAGGCAATGTCTGTCAGAGCGTTCTTAATTATATAAAAAACAGCAATTGGGAGAAAAACTCCATCTTATGAATGGGTCCAAATTACGAATTCAGAAACTCCATCTTCGTTAATTATTCAAGAATTTATTCATCAAAATGCAATGAAGGCATTGACGGACTGTACCTTCTTAGTTTTTGCTGAACCGGCAATATTTGCAGCACTGCCAATAATTTTAGGAATCCTTTTACTCGAGTCCTTCCCAGGAGGATGGTTTTCCTCAGGCTTGTGAAAAGGAAAATTAATTGATTTTCCAGATGTTTTCTTCAGCATTTTCCTTTTATGTCGCCTAAAGTGTGCCAACTCTAGCACAGTGTCTTCTCTCCTATCCTGTTTGAACAAAAAACATTAATTAATAAAGCAATCAAATATTTACCAGAAAATTACAACAGAAAAATATGCGAGACCTTACCCAGTGGTGAGGCATAACTCCAAGGACCGATTCTCTAAATTGCCTGCACTCAAACTACAATATGCAAGGGCTTAGGAATTTTACTAGTATTTATTTTTTAAAAGAGAAATCATCTCAAAACTTCCATAACTGGAGAAAATTCTAACTACAAACTCTTGTGCAGGGTAAAAACTTGTGTTTAGATCACATTAATATTAGCATGGATGTTGAATTGTAATGGAACTAATCAATGTTAGTACAAGAATCAGTATAATACATCATACCTCTCCAGGATGTCGAGTATTCAGAGAATGAACATCGAGCCTGTAATTATGCTGTGGAGTTAACTGTGATGCATCTGAAGAATGTGCCTCAATGTTCTGAAACATGACGATAAAATCATTAATAAGAAGTGAATGCCAAGATCTACAGAGAGTAACTACTTGCAGTTCCTCGACAAAAAAGGAATGACAATTTTTCTGATGAAGTAACAGTGTCCTCTGAAGAAGAAGTTTCCCAATAAACAATATGAAAAGGCACGAAACAGAGTATAAGTTAAATCACCTCATTCTTCCTGCTCCATCGTAGCACACCAGATCGACCAGCAAATGCATAAAATGCAAAATGGCGTAAATGTACTGCCCCAGAGTTCTCAGAAGTCTACAAAGAATGCGTTTACTTATCATGTAACCATCTTCCGCCAACATTTAATTTTAACAGAAAATATGCAACTATCAAGTACCAACTACAGCTAAATTTGTCACACTAGTAAGTCAGACCAGTGAGTTAAGTAACAAAGTTCCTCAAGTTCGAAATATAAATTCAATCTCCAAACCATGAAAACACAAAACAGTTTATTCATTTCAAGGGTCCAGTTCTCCATAATCATCCGCATTTTCAAACCTACCTCCTTTTCGGTAGCACTTCTTCTATGCTGCTCAGCTTTCTTCTCTCCAATTCCAAATTCTTCAAAGGGATCCATAAAAATCTATATGGAAGTACTTTGGTAAATAGTATGTTGATTCCATTATGCTGAATCCTCAACTAAAAGATAACAAAAGATTGAAACAGTAGGAAATTTTCTTGATATTGACTGTGGAGGGAGAAAACACAAATATGACAGCATTCAAACTAGTACTGTGAGAAGTAAATAAATATCATGCATCTTAACAACCAAAATACAATAAGACATACACGTGGCTGCATTTCCATTCTCCCACCAACAATAACCAATCCTGAATCACCATGCTTTAGGGTATAATTGCTTATCGAGATTGCTATCTCTCTGTGGTGAGCATTATGTGGAAAATCCTCCTGTCAAATCCCACCAAGAACTAGGCTATTAGAAAACCAAATGATCTAAGGAGAATGATAGAACAAAGAAAATGCAATGAACATGGCATAAAGCACAAAAAAACAAACCTGCAGATTTGTTTCCCATAACTTCTTGAGATTGTGATCAAAGCACATTACAGACCAACCGGATGTAACAACAACAAGAACCTGAGTCACTGGTTGACCATGTCTGGGATGCCGATAAATAATTCCAGTAGCCATGGCTACTGGACGTCTACCAGATGAAACGCGTACTTTATCAGGCAACAAAGAGACCTCTGTCAGCACACGAGCATTGCTAAATCCCTCATCCACTCGCCTACTATGGGGTTCCAAAACCTGAAACGACCAATCAAAGTTCATAAAACAAATCTACATAGCCGATTGACGAGCAAAACGCTTTAGGAGCGAGCAAAATGTTCTGGAAATCCAATCATCATATGGTACAGAAAGAAACGAGTCGTATTTAACATTGCAGCAGGCTAAAATAATCTACCAAATTATTCCATAAGAGAACACACGTGATCAGATAAAACCAAATGAATGAGGCACGGGACTCGAGATTACCATAATTTTAGCATCGTGTGTTGCCACAAGAACCTCCTTCTTTCCATCACCATTAAGATCGGCGACGATAGGTGGCGGGAGACGATCACCTTCATACTTGATTGGGTACTCATCAGTGAGATGCATCCATGCCTCCCTAAACGAGAAATGGCCTTCATGCTGAAACTCAGGAGAGACACAATAATCAGTCCCACTTTAACAAAGTTAACAAAGGAAATGGCAAAGCAACAACACAATATCGTCGAAACAGCAATAAAATTCCAAAATCAAGGAACGCCAAAGGATGAAATCAGAAGAAGTCCTAAACAAGTATGTTATTCGACAATTAAGAAAAAAACGAGTATAAATTAGGAAATGGAGATGACAACAAATCGGAAACCTGAAGAGAGAAAAAAATAGCGAAGGCTGATAGCATAAGAATGGCTAAATCTCGCTTCCTCATATAGTTGGATTCTCTTTGACCTTCAGCTCCAGTGGGTTGAATCAGCCGATTCACAGTTCTCCAAGGAAAATGGAAATGCAGCTTCGAGGCGTAAAGGCTAAGAGCTTAGGTTCACTCCTTACAGTTAGGAAACCAGAGAAATAATTGGCTTCAACATTTCACCAAATTCCCATTGAGGATAACGACCTACAACACGAGACGCGACGGAGACGACGGTGGATTGCAGCAGTTCGACACTACCGTTACCGACAGCGTTTTAATAGGATCCGTTGTAGATTGTTTCCCGCTATTTAACAATTGGGCTTTTCTTGCGACTGGCCCAAACATTCGGGTTTCAATAACAATCTTGTTGGGCCGGTTCGACCTTTGGGGACGAGTTTGGGTTTAGGGTTTAAGGATAGACAATAATTCTTGCATCTTTTATCCATATATTAATTAAATTTCTAGGAACGTTTTCAATACAAATAATTTTTGCTGAATTTTCTACTATTTTAGTTTCACTAAATGAATTTCTCAAAACCTAATTATAATGAACAAATTTTTTTTTTTTAGAAATGTGTTAGTTTATCATATTCTAAATTTAAAAAAATATATTTAATAGTTAAATTTTATGAATTTTTAAAAGTCATAGATTAAATAAATACAAATTCAGTCACGAAACATTCCTCTTAAAAGTATGAAACTCCCTCTTAAAAGTATGAAACTCCCTCTTAAAAGTATGAAACTCAAAATTCACACTATGTACCAGGTTGAAGTGAACCATATTTATTAGCGCTTAATGTTATTGGAGATAGACATCATCGCTTAATGTTATTGGAGATAGACATCATCGCTTAATGTTATTGGAGATAGACATCATCGCTTAATGTTATTGGAGATAGACATCATCGCTTAATGTTATTGGAGATAGACATCATCGCTTAATGTTATTGGAGATAGACATCATCGCTTAATGTTATTGGAGATAGACATCATCGCTTAATGTTATTGGAGATAGACATCATCGCTTAATGTTATTGGAGATAGACATCATCGCTTAATGTTATTGGAGATAGACATCATCGCTTAATGTTATTGGAGATAGACATCATCGCTTAATGTTATTGGAGATAGACATCATCGCTTAATGTTATTGGAGATAGACATCATCGCTTAATGTTATTGGAGATAGACATCATCGCTTAATGTTATTGGAGATAGACATCATCGCTTAATGTTATTGGAGATAGACATCATCGCTTAATGTTATTGGAGATAGACATCATCGCTTAATGTTATTGGAGATAGACATCATCGCTTAATGTTATTGGAGATAGACATCATCGCTTAATGTTATTGGAGATAGACATCATCGCTTAATGTTATTGGAGATAGAAATCATCGCTTAATGTTATTGGAGATAGACATCTCGATGTGCCAATGCCACCAACACCTATCGATGTTTAGAGATTATGAGATTCCACAAAAGTTGAAGAAGAAATGAAAACATAAGCAAGGAGAAGAAAATAGAAGAAAATAGAGTTGTCATGTTTTTCCGTAAACAAATACAAATTATAGTTCTTTTATTCACTTCGTGGGCGAACACAAATAAAGATAATTATTAATTAACAGAACCGACAAGAAAAATAGAGAGAACGAAATTTAAGAGCACTACAACCTCCCTAAAAATCGAAAAAGAAAAAAAAAAAAAAAAAAAAAAAAAA